CATGAATGAATGAATGAATGGGATGAATTGTGTTGAACATAAAATGGGAATTGCCATATACAATCAATCAGCAACTGATTAATTTTAAATAAAACTGTAAATAGAGAGGGAACATACATACAAGTAGGCATTTACATAACGAATAAATGAATGTTTAATATCAATTCCAATAAACATATGCAAGACAAGAGATGTAGAGTAGAGAGAATGGGTGGATAACCAGGACAATAGAGATTATAAAAATGAGGGAAAAACCAATCTCTCTATCTATTTTTTGTGGTTTCTCATAAGATAGAAAAACGAGTGTCACATGACATTCAACACACACGTGCTCAAAATAAAGCCTAAGACCATCTCATCAGGCCAAAATGCGAGAAACGCCTGCACAGCACTTGGCTCTTGATACTTGGTTACAGTAGTAGCCGCTTTTTATTTCAAAGATTTCTTTTTCATTTTTATATAACAAAGTTCACTACCCTTACAAACAAATTCAAAATGCATAGGGAGGGGGTCGGGGGAAACGGAAAGGATGGGCAGTAGAGCGAGAGTCCTGTTCAGCACATCTCTACACCACTACCCTAGCCCTAGCTTTATATATGCATAATGCATGTATAAAATAATTCCTTTTTTATCTCTTTCTCTTTCCCTTTCCCAACAAACATGACAACATCACCATCAACATAAATCATCATTACCGTCATCATCTTATCATACATTATTAGTTCATCATCTTAATCTTCATTTATTCTGTTTTTTTTTTAAAGTTTCTGTCCCTCTTTTTTTCTTTCTCCATTTGGTTTATGCTCTGTTTTCTCCGGTGCACCACACTGACTCAAACACATATCAATCAAATAATCAAATAATCAATCGATCAATCGATCAATCGATCAACCACTGCTTGCACCTAAACGTTGTTCTCGCTGCCCGCACACCACACTCCGCGTGGCTCAAACAACTAGAGCCTTTGTGCGGTGGTGGTGTTGGGCGGTCATTCATCACTCATGTTCAAGATGATTTCAGAGTTACCGTTCTGCCCTTGTGTCTCTGTTGGTATAAGAAAAAAAGAAGGGATAGCCAGCCACTTCATCCAACCATACGCTCTGTCTCTGCTTCGCATCTCGTTGGCTTTCTCCCTCCCTTCCCCCCAAAAACAACAACACACGAGCTTAGCTCGTTTGTCTTCTCTCCCTCCCTCTGCCTGTTGGTACAGACGGTATTTTTGACAGTTCGTGGTCTCTACTTTATCCATCATTTTGAGTGTATCAAGATCATAGTCGTACCGGGTATGGCATGTCTCATCAAGAGTAATGAAACACAAACACACATACTCTCTCTTACTTGCTGCGCGGGGGTCTCTGTAGAAAATTCAAATTCAAATTCAAATTCAATTTCAGCACACAGACATACACACACAGACGCTAATTTGGCTCTGAGGATGATGAGGATTAATGCTGTCTACCTCACCACCCACTGCCATTGCCAGTAAACAAGCCAGGAGAACACAACAAACTAAATAAACTAAGCTACCATTTTACTACTCTTCTCATTCCAACGGGCTGTTGTTGGGCACACCTGTGGTGGGTTCTGCTATGCCATATGGGGTTTATTGTACCCACCCATTCACACAAACTCATCTCCCAACTTTCCCTCGCTGCTTCCTCTTTTTCTTGCATCAATTTGCACTTTTGTATGGAGGAGACAAGACAAGTCTTCCAGTATTATAATGAATGCTACACTCTATTATCTCATGTCCATACTGTTCCATACTGTTCCCATCAGCTCAATTATCATTACCATCTGCGCTCTCTTGGATTTTTATTCTTTTTATTGTTATGTTATGTTATGTTATGTTATGTTATTACTATTACTATTACTATTACTATTACTCTTCTTATTCTTATTCTTATTTTACAATTCCCTATCCTTTCTTTCCCTTTCCCGTTCCTTCTCATCTCTTTCTCTATCTGGTTTCCTGTCTCACTTTATTTTTGTATGTGTAAGTGTAAGCGTAAGTGTAAATGTCAATGTAATTTCACTCCAGTACTCCAGTTAGCTTCAATGACACTGGAAAAAATGATGTTCTCTTTTCTTTCTCTTTCTCTTTCCCTCTCTTTTCTTACTCTCTCTATCTCTCTATTCCAGTTTATCAACACTTCAATATCTAATTGTATTTATATTTTATACTTCATATTTTCATATTTTCATATTTTCATATTTACATATATATATGATAAGCTTTGTTCTATCCAAAAAGTTTCAAACCATTCCATTCTATTCCTACCCATTCACATTTTAACCACACTCTAACTAAATCCTATTTAACTGCCAACCACTTTCCTATCTCACTCACCTCTCTTCCATACCTAGTCCCCTAATCCCGTCCAAGACTCAATAAATTCAATTTTTGATCAAAACCTCTTTTTTTATTTTTGTTTCACTCTCCCTTTACCTCAAATAAATCTTCTCTCCCCCCCCCCCAAAAAAAAATTATTATAAGAACTATTCCTCTATTTGTTACCCGGAATAAGTCTCCTACGGAAAAAACCATAAAAAAATGGTCCATTTTCTAAAATGGTCCCAACCTTTCCTAAAATTCTGGATTTTCTTTGCTGGCCACTCGGAAAAAACACCTTTCACATATAAATAAATACCTTTTATAAAAATCAGGAAATCAAACCTTAAAAAACGGTTCTGGACCCCCCCCAATCAATTAAACTTCTCTAATTTCTTAACCTTTTTTAAACCTCCTCCTTATACGGAAAAATAAAAAACCTTCCAGCGAAATTAACTAAAACCAAGACTCCTGGCCCAAAATTTTGAAACCCAAAANNNNCCC